AATAATAAATAATAAATAATAAATAATAAATAGTAAATAGTAAATAATAAATAATAAATAATAAAGAACAAATAACAAATAAATAATAAATAATAAATAATAAATAGTAAATAGTAAATAATAAATAGATAATTCTATCAAATGACATCTAACACTTGTATCATTTATCATCTCTTGATTCCACAGGCGCAGTTTGACTCGATCTTTAGCAAGCACAAGGTCCGACATCTCCTGGGCTTGGAAAACCCAAATTCCTTCCTAAATCCTGAATTTTCCACCGTTTTAACACCTCTCAGCATCACCTGGAGCAGGGGCTGGACAGAGCTGAAGGAATTAAACAACAAAGCAGAGATTTACTCAAAAAAACCTTCCAAAAATGCACCCGGGTTTATTCCTGGTTTTATTCCAGGTTTTTATTCCTGGTTTTATTCCCGGTTTTATTCTCGGTTTTATTCTCGGGTTTTATTCCTGGTTTTATTCCCGGTTTTATTCCCGGTTTTTATTCCCGATTTTTATTCCCGGTTTTTATTCCCGGCTTTTATTCCCGGTTTTTATTCCCAGTTTTATTCCCCGGTTTTATTCCCGGTTTTTATTCCCCGGTTTTATTCCCGGGTTTTATTCCCGATTTTTATTCCCGGTTTTATTCCCGATTTTTATTCCCGGGTTTTATTCCCGGTTTTATTCCCGGTTTTTATTCCCGGGTTTTATTCTCGGTTTTATTCTCGGTTTTATTCCCGGGTTTTATTCCCGGGTTTTATTCCCAGGTTTTATTCCCGGTTTTTATTCCCGGGTTTATTCCCGGAGGAAGCCCCGACGGCTTCGCCCTCCCGGGACCTCCGGCACCCCCTGGTGGCAGCGGGGGGGACACCGGGGGGACACCGGGGGGACATCGAGGGGACATCGAGGGGACACCGGGGGGACATCGAGGGGACATCGAGGGGACATTGAGGGGAGATCGAGGAGACATTGAGGGGACACCGAGGGGAGATCGAGGAGACATTGAGGGGACATTGAGGGGACACCGAGGGGACACCGTGGGGACACCGAGGTGACACCGGGGGGA